TCAGAATATATAGCTACCACCACTATCAATAAACATATTTTTATTCATAGAATCCATAAATGTGTGGATTGTTCTGATATTCCGTTTATTTCCTGAGATATGAATTAATAAAGTTGACGAATATGAGGCAGAGTGGGCCACAGATAGTCTGGACTCTGAAAAAAAATGAGTCGGATATCCTCGGCATTCCGCGCGGGTTAATGACGTCGCCGCGAGGTGATATTTACCGGGTAAACAGATCACTTATTACTGCGCATTACGGTGAAAGCGGCATCTCTCCAGCTGTTGCGGTTACGGAGATATAATCCGACGAACTTAATAGCAAAATACACGGTAAGTAACCGGGGTTTTGGAAAACCAACACCACACACATACATCTAAGATTATAAGCTTTAGAATGATGGTATATTTGAATCATGTCACGGTTGTTTTGACCCGCGGATCAGTGAATAAAGTTGAAAAACCGCCGCGCTCATCACACACTCTGCACTGTTGCCGAAGCGGCAGGCAAGTCCGGGCGAGCCCACCTTTCAGGGGGGTAGAAACGCATGTCACGTGGCCCAAACGGATCAATGCCATTGGTTGGACTAATCCATTTTACATGTTAACAAGGGTGTTTGGGTTAGTTAACATGTTTAAAGCTGAGGTCTGTAACTTTAGTCTCGTAAATAACACATTTTTAAAGCTGAGGTCTGTAACTTTAGTCTGATAAATAACATGTTTAAAGTTGAGGTCTGTAACTTTAGTCTCATAAATAACACATGTTTAAAGCTGAGGTCTGTAACTTTAGTGTCATTAATTAAATGTTTAAAGCTGAGGTCTGTAACTTTAGTCTCGTAAATAACACATTTTTAAAGCTGAGGTCTGTAACTTTAGTCTGATAAATAACATGTTTAAAGCTGGGGTCTGTAACTTTAGTCTCATTAATAACGTTTAAAGCTGAGGTCTGTAACTTTAGTCTCGTAAATAACACATTTTTAAAGCTGAGGTCTGTAACTTTAGTCTGATAAATAACATGTTTAAAGCTGAGGTCTGTAACTTTAGTCTCATTAATAACATGTTTAAAGCTCGGGTCTGTAACTTTAGTCTCATTAATAAAATGTTTAAAGCTGAGGTATGTAACTTTAGTCTCATTAATAACATGTTTAAAGCTCGGGTCTGTAACTTTAGTCTCATAAATAACACATGTTTAAAGCTGAGGTCTGTAATTTTAGTCTCATAAATAACACGTGTGTGTGTGTGCATATGCCAAAAACATTTCTAAGCATCATATTTAGATTGCTCCATCAATTACCTTTATTTTGATATATTACATAGTAGTTTGAAAAAAATGTTTTCCGGATTTCATGTTGGCAGCCATCTTGGATAAGCTGGCGGCCATATTGGAATCGGGGTCGGCCAAATTGTAAAATGAATATCGAATTCAACATCCCTGAATTGTTTCCTTCTTTACTGTGAATTTTAATGTTTATAGTTAGTAAAATAGGGAAGTTACAGCACTTAGAAGATGAATAAAGGCTTGAACTGGCTGAATAGAAGGTTCCACAGTATCCCTTTGTTTTAAACCAAATTACTTTCACTATAAGCGCCTAAAAGCACTTATCAATATGGTAATAAAATCATAACCACTTATCCGATTTTCATAATTCTAAAACTGTTTTATTCCTCTTACTGAGCTGGAAAGTACTGTGCTGAATTAAATCTGATTTGGTAATTTAAAAAATGTAATCTTGCATTGCTACAAGTAGGCACCATTCTAGCTTTCCAAAGGGCTTAATTGGCCGTAAATGCACTGCTAATGTAAGCATAGCTGGAGTAAGTTGCAATTCCTTGTTAGATTCTGGGTCACAAGTTACCACTATTTCACATTCATTTTACCAAAAGTGTCTGTCTGATTTTCCCATTCAATCCATCAGTGACTTAGATGTAGAGGGTGCAAATGGGCAAGCCGTTCCTTACGTAGGCTACGTAGAAGTTCCGATCAGCTTTCCAAAGGAGTTTATTGAGTCTGAGCCACAAATTTCTACATTAGCCCTTATAGTCCCTGATTTAAGATCCAGTTCAGATTTGCCAGTTTTAATTGGCACAAATGCTCTTGATGTGCTTTATGAAGAACACTGTAAAGACAACAGTTGTAACTCTTCTGTCTATGGCTATAGTCAGATTTTAAGAATCCTTCAGCACAGACATGAAACAAAAAGTACAGGGAAACTTGGCCTCATGACACTGAGGGGCAACACACCCCACATTATCCCAGCCAATGAAAAGGTGTGTCTCGAAAGCCCTGCCCACATTGGGTCCCCATTCACAGACAAATGGGCATTAGTAGAGCAGCCAACAACTTCAGCCCTTCCTGGTGGAATCTTTGTTGATTGCTGCCTGATCACATTGCCAAGTCAAGCGCCATGTAAACACCCTGTGTGGATCAGAAATGAAACCGATCATGATATTATGCTACCTGGAAACTGCGTCCTTGCTGAACTTCACATTGCAGAGCAAGTTTATGACACTCAGAGCCTATCAAATACCAACTCAGCAGGTTGTTGTCGCCTCTCTGCAGAGTCTTCCAGATCATCTTCAAGTGAACAGTTATCTTTTGATTTTGGAGATTCACCTCTGCCAGAGGAATGGAAAAGTCGGATCACACAGAGTCTGAGTGCCTACAGTGATGTTTTTGCATGTGACGATCTCGACTTTGGCCATGCCACTAAGGTAAAGCATAAAATAAAACTCAAGGACGAGGCACCAATAAAACAAAGATCAAGACCCATCCATCCAAATGACTACGAAGCAGTCAGAAAACATCTCCGGATGCTTCTTGATGCTGGGGTTATAAGGCCATCAGAATCCCCTTTTTCATCCCCCATTGTAGTAGTCAAGGAAAAGAACGGTGATGTACGCCTTTGTGTGGACTACCGTAAGATCAATGTCCAAACTGTCAGAGACGCTTACGCGTTACCCAATCCTGAGGAGACCTTCTCCGCTCTGTCTGGTTCAAACTGGTTCTCTGTCATGGACTTAAAGTCAGGCTATTACCAGATAGAGATGGAGGAGGAGGATAAGCCCAAAACAGCATTCGTTTGTCCTCTAGGTTTTTATGAGTTCAATAGAATGCCCCAGGGCATCACAAATGCTCCCAGTACCTTTCAGAGGTTAATGGAGAGGTGTATGGGAGACATTCATCTCAAAGAGGTTATCGTCTTTTTAGATGATTTGATAGTCTTTTCAAGTTCGCTAGAGCAGCATGAACAAAGGCTTAAACATGTTTTGGACCGTCTTCGTGAATATGGCTTAAAGTTGTCCCCCACAAAATGTCGTTTTTTCCAGACATCAGTAAAATACTTGGGCCATATTGTCTCGAAAAATGGGGTAGAAACAGATCCCGAAAAGGTAATGTCCATTAAGACCTGGCCAGTGCCTCAGAATTTAAAGCAGCTCAAGTCATTTTTAGGTTTCACCGGCTACTATCGCAGATTTGTTAAAGATTACACAAAGATAATCCGGCCCCTAAATGACTTAACATGCGGCTACCCACCTGTCAGAAAAGGCCAGAAAAAAAGTGACTCTTCCCAAAATTTCAACCCCCGTGAACCATTTGCTGATAGGTGGACTCAGTCTTGTCAGTCAGCCTTTGAGTGCATTAAGGAAAAACTAACATCATCTCCTGTGTTGGGGTTTGCTGATCCTAAGCTCCAGTATGTTTTGCACACTGACGCGAGCACCACAGGCTTAGGTGCTGCTCTATATCAGGAGCAAAATGGGAAGATGCGTGTCATAGCCTATGCAAGTAGGGGGCTGACACCAAGTGAGTCTAGATATCCAGCTCATAAGCTGGAATTTCTAGCCCTGAAATGGTCCATAGTTGAAAAGTTCCACGATTACCTTTATGGTAATGACTTCACTGTCATAACAGATAATAATCCACTCACCTATCTTTTAACCACAGCAAAACTTGATGCGGCGAGCTATCGCTGGTTAGCAGCACTATCCACTTTCAACTTCCAAATCAAATACCGAGCTGGGAAGGCTAACCAGGATGCTGACGGCCTATCACGGAGGCCCCATCAAACATTGGATGCTGATAGTGTGACATTGGAAGAAGAAAACCGGATACATCAACTCACTTCGCGTCTTCTTGGATCTACTCCAAACCCAAATAATTTGTGTTCTGACACTGTTGCAGCCCTATGTCAAAAACATCTTGTCAACCAAACAACTGAAAACTCACCTCATGTTATCCTGGTTGAGTCCTTGGCCATGAGTGCTGATGCTATTCCTGATGCATATAGTGAAGCAGAAACATCTGGTCAAGTAGCTGCTCCTTTGTTCTCTGAACATGAGCTCAAACAACATCAGAGCTCAGACCCTAACATAAATCATGTAATTCAGTTGCTGGAAACCTGTGCAGTTCCCCCACGTGACACCAGGGCTGAAGCATTGGAAATCAAGTTGATGTTGCGAGAGTGGAAATGGTTGGAAATGAGAAATGGTCTGCTGTTCAGAAAGAGACAGTGTGATTCGGAGACGACCTACCAGCTCGTTCTCCCCGTTTCCTTGAGATCCACAGTGTTCAAACTGTTACATGAAGATATGGGTCACATGGGGTGGGAGAGGACTCATGAGCTAGTGAGGTCGAGATTTTATTGGCCTAGAATGGGGACTGATCTCGAAAACAAGATAAAGAACTGTGATAAAATCCATGCCTGAAAGGGCTGCTCCTTTGGTTAATATAAAAACTGCGCGACCAATGGAATTGGTCTGCATGGATTTTCTGTCCATCGAGCCCGATAGTAAGAACACTAAAGATGTGCTGGTCATCACAGACCACTTTACAAAATATGCTGTCTCCTTGCCAACCAGATATCAAAAAGCAAACACTGTAGCAAAAGATCTATGGGAAAACTTCTTGGTTCACTATGGGTTCCCAGAACGCCTCCATAGTGACCAAGGGAGGGTCACTATGGAGGTGATTATCGCAGGTGATTAAGGAACTATGTGCCATGACCGGGATTAAGAAAGTGAGAACCAGCCCGTATCACCCAAGAGGCAACCCCGTTGAGCGATTTAATCGCACCCTCCTGAGTATGTTAGGTACTTTGAGGGACGACCAAAAGGGCCATTGGCGTGATTTTGTAAAACCTCTCACGCATGCCTATAACTGTTCAAAAAACGAGGTCACTGGCTATAGTCCTTATGAGTTAATGTTTGGACGTAAGCCAAAATTACCAGTTGACCTTGCGTTTGGGTTGCCAGTTATAAGAAACACACAAACTTCCCATTCTCAGTATGTGCGCAATCTGAAAGCAAAGTTGGAGGAAAGTTATCAAATTGCGCTTGAAAACTCCACCAAAACGGCAGAACGGAACAAAAAACGTTTTGATAAGAAGATCCGAGAGTCAACTCTTCAAGTTGGGGACAGAGTTCTAGTCAAAAATGTCCGCTTGCGTAACAAGCATAAGCTTGCCGACAAATGGGAGTCAAATGTGTACCATGTTGTAAAGAAAATGGAAAATGTACCAGTGTATGTTGTCCAACCAGAGAAGGGTGACGGTCCCACTAGAACTCTCCATCGTGACCTTTTGCTTGCTTGTGGTGATCTTTCAGATACAGAGGATGGAACTGAAACCAAACCCAAGGCCCCACATCGCCCTAAAACTCGACAAAGCTCACCTGATACATTGAAATTGTATCTGGACAATGAAATGTCAGACTTGGAGGAGGATTATGAATGTATCCCCGGACCCTCTGAAATTCATGAAACCTTCATTAACATCTGTGACAAAGAACCAACCTATTCAAATGTTCGTCATGAACCAACAAACCAGGACATCTCAAATTCATCACCCCCACTTAATGATCTCTTGCCACCTCCAGTTGCAACAATTGAGAGCAACTCAGATGGAGTTGATGGTGGCCATGATATCCAAAACGAACATGAACTATTGGATGAGGAGCCATGCTCAATTGAAATTGGGGAAGATGATTCAAATCAAGAGCAAAGGGAACTGGATGTTGAGTTATTGGATATGGTACAAAACCAAAATACCACTGACCAGGAAACTGAGCAAACCGCAGAGCCAATCTCTGAAACACCAGATGTAAGGAAATCTGAGCGATTAAGACGAGCCCCAGGACGGCTTACTTACCCAGAGCTGGGCCAACCCTTAATATCATTTGCTCAAAGATTCTTAGACAACTTTAACCAAGCTCTTGAATCTTTTAGTCGTTATGAAAATTCCGAGATCTATGATGTTTAAGTACATGATGGGACTCATGCATATTCAAGAGGGGAGGGTGTAACCCATGTAAATCCATGGTTACTAGTATAACATCGTCAAAAGCCCTTATTTCCAACGCGCCCTTGAATGTACCACACACCTTTCCTACCTGACTTGAACACACCTTAGGCACACTCGGCCTGCATCTAGCTAGAGTCCGCAGTGAGACACGGAGAGCAGACGAGAGAGCTGCACAGTGAGTTAACAAGATGAAAGTGTATAAAATGTACTTTTTAAACAACTTCTAACTTAAGAATATGTACTTTGCAGTGCTTTAGAGTGTCTTGCTCTAAAATCAAACCGTGTGGAGTGTTGTTGTTTCTTGGAAACTCTGGTGAGTTATTAGAATGTAATAAGCTAGCAGAACGCACTTTTGCTTTGCACGTGTTACAAGAATGCTAAAAAGCTAAATAAGCTAAAACCAGTCAGAGTATTGAACCCTAAAAGGGTATTGTGCTATAATTCAATGCCTTATTTTATTTTACAAAGTTTTCATGTGAAGCACTGTTTATGTTGAAAGTTTTATTGTTGAAATATGCACCTTTATTGTACTATTTATGCAATGCTAATTTAGCACATTGTCATTTCATTTAGAGGGAAATTCATAAGGGAGCTTTTGTTAATGATAAGTTAAGTTAAAAAAACAAGTGTAATAATTATAATTTAAAAGCCTTAAAAAAAGGTGTAGACAATATTTGTTTGATGTAATGTTGTAAAGCATTTCATTTATTTCATTGAACCAAAACAATGTAAATTCACAATTTCATTGATTTAGAAACATATATGAGATCTCATTTGACTAGATATTACCATTTTATTAATTTTTCTGTACTGTATGTGCAGACTGGTTTTTTTGTGGTGCTGGAAACGGATCTTGGAGTTGAACACTGAAGTTGATGGCGAGCCAGACCCAGTGAACTCACCTCTAGACTCTGGAACAGTGTGGCCAGCTGTTCTGGTTTCTGGATAAAGACCCGACCACTTCAAATCCTTTGGATCCCAGATAAGAACACCAAATACACATCCGAACGGACAACAAGTTGCGAAAGACCGCTTTCACACTGAACTTTCCTGTATATCGGGACTAAAGACAATCAAACTATTTTTATTTTGTTTTTCATCTTTCTAAAGATGTTATTTTTGTTTTGATTTAAGTGCAATTGTTAAATTGTAATAAATCTGCCGGCTGTTCAACTTTAATTCTTTCTCCTTCCTACTCCTCTAGAACCTAGTCTGAAATCCCTAACTTAATTATATTAAGCAGGTGTTACATAAACACTGATGATGACAGTCAGTTCTTGTCAGCCAGAGCACTGATGAGGGACCAGATACAGAAATATTATTCAATTGGAGAGAGCACAATGGCCTGAAGGCTCTTTTATGGAGGCTTCTGGACTCATTTTTACACCGCCACAGTTTTAACTACATTTGAAACAAGAGTGTGCACTCGGATCTGGTGTCTAATGGGGTCTTTCTATGTTCTCAACCCATCTAGGGCCAAACTGGTAATGTGTTCTTAGGCAATACACTTCACTCACATTGCAAGGCAAGGCAATTTTATTTGTATAGCACAATTCATACACAAGGCAACTCAAAGTGCTGAACAAAATAGCATTAAAATCATAAATAATCACAGAACATTGAAAGGAAAGATAAAAATATAAAATCCCTCAGTTGTATGCACAGCTAAACAGAACTGTTTTTAACCTGGTTTTAAACATTGTCAGAGAGGAGGCCTGTCTCACATCTTCAGGAAGATTGTTCCAGATTTTAGCAGCATGAATCTGAAAAGCTGCCTCCCCATGTTTAGTTCTGACTCTGGGCACTAACAGGAGTCCAGTCCCTGTGCTCCTCAGAGTCCGGGCTGGTTCATATCGGACTAACATTACTAATATATTTTGGTGCGAGGCTATGGAGAGACTTGTACACAAGCAGAGCTGTTTTAAAGTCTATTCTCTGAGCCACAGGAAGCCAGTGCAGAGACCTGAGAACTGGACTAATGTGGTCGTACTTCCTGGTTCTAGTCAGGACTCGAGCTGCTGCATTTTGAATGTACTGCAGCTGTTTTACAGCCTGTTTGGACAGACATGGAGCTTTCGCGAAAGTTCACCGTGGTAGACCCGGCTGCTGCTGCCAGGCCACAGGCTGCTCTTCCTCGACTCATCAATACCAGCAACGCCCACACCCAGTCAACCAATAACCACCAGGACAGCAAGTTAAAAGCCGGAGACGCCCACTTCCCGGTCTTCTGAAGTCTGCAAACTTCTGAAGCCTGCAAGGTGCATGTCGCTAACGCACCTGTTCGCAAATGCATGCGTTGTTCTGGAGGGGTCGCTTCTGCTCACGTGTTGCTCGTGCGCGTGGCCCTGCTGTCCTCAGTCTGGCTGCTCATGGTCTGCTCCTCTTCCACGTCCCTGCACCTGCTGTGGTTCGCATATCCCCACTGCTCTCCTCCTCTGCGGGCTCTTCTGCGGGCTGCTCCGCGGGGCCCCTCCGCGGGGCCCCTCCGCGGTTCCGTGCTGCTCGTGCCTTGTGGTCTGCTGCCGCGCGCAGACGGTCTGGCGGTGCCGTGCGTGTCCCTGCCTCCGATTGGCGGTGCCGCGTTGTCCCGTTGCTTTCCCAAATCTCCTGGCATGTGAGTACAGTGAGTGTGCCGACCGCGGACAGATTAATCCCTGAGTCTGGGCTGCAGGCGGCTGGTTTTTGCCCTACGCACTTGACTGCAGGCGTCAGTTTTCGCCCCGTGCTTGGTCTGCAGGCTCCGTTTTCACACGTGTTTGAGCTAACTGAGGGGCAATGCATATTAAATGGCATCAATCTCCAATGTCTGAGGGATATAAGAGGAGCAATGTGCATTAATTCAGATTCATGTTCTGCCACTTGCAGTAAAACCACGTTGGAAAAAATGTGCAAAGACTACCCCATCGTGCTCCAGACGGCACACACCAGAGCTCTTGCACGGCGCCATCTTTACAGCATCAATCTCATTACTCGCAAGTCACTATTGTTAAATGAATGTATTTAAATTCGTCTATCTGCAGGAGGAAGGAGGGGCCATGCATTTAAATAGCTAGGTCACTAGTATTAAACTGGGTAACTAAACTGCAGTTGTTGCATTTCGAAGTGCAGCAGAAAGAAAAGGGGCCCAATGTGAATCTACAATGGGTTTGAAGTGGAGCTGGAGCTAATGAACGCATGGATCAGTGATCGTTCATGCGTTCTACCATAACCAAAGCAGCAAGATGGCTCCAGGGGACATCTGTTTCTCGCATGGGAATGTTTCGGATTCGGGTTGATTTATTTCCTCAGGCTCTTAAACAACCGTGGGCATGGTTCTCTGACCGCCGCTGCTGCGGTCCCTGCTGCCGTTCCTACTGATGCCTGATCCCGCTGCTGCCTGTTCCTGCTGCTGCCTGTCCCGGCTGCCTGCTCCTGCTGCTCCTACTACTACATGTGCCGCTGCTGCTGTTCCTGCCGCTGCCGCTCCGCAGGCTCCCAGGCTGCACCTGTCTCTACGGCTCGGCTCTTCAGACACGTACGTAACCTGGCTCACGGAGACAAGCGGCGCACGCTGGCGTGACACGTCTGTTGTTCGTATGAATCGCATTGTGCTGCTGCTGCTTGCTGCTTCTGCTGCCGCGACTGCTGCTATTGCTGCCGCTGCTGCTTCATACTGCTACCGCTTCCGTGCTGCTGCTGCTTCTTTACTTTGACACCTCTCTTCACTGCGCATCTCTTTTACTGAAACACTAAACAGCTACAACAATATTCTACTGCTCTGGCTTTGATACAGGATTATTGCTGCTATTATCGACGGATGCTGCAGCTGCTGCTGCTTCATACTGCTACTGCTGCTGCTGCTTCATACTGCTACTGCTACTGCTGCTGCTTCATACGGCTACTGCTGCTACTACTGCTGCTGCTGCTTCATTTACTTTGCCATCTCTCTTCACTTCGCATCTCTTTTACTGAAACCCTGAACAGCTACAACAACATTCTACTGCTGTGGCTTTGATACAGAATTATTACTGTTATTTTCTAAGGACGCTGCTGCTGCTGCTGCTGCTGCTGCTGCTGCTGCTACTGCTGCTGCCGCGGCTTGATACAGGACTTTTGCTGTTATTATCTGAGGCTACTGCTGCTGCCGCTGCTGCTACTGCTACTGCAACCCACTCTCTCAGAAGCTTATCCTGCTTCTAATGGACGCAGCCCGGCTGAGTATGCCGCGCTGCGCCGGACTCGCACCTATGCTCCCAGGGTCGCTTCGGCGGTCGTGCTTCATCTCTCTACTGAATCTTCTGATTCTATCAGATGCAGCTGGCCAAGTAGCTGCGCTGAGCCGTCAATCGGACTCCTAATCAAAGGCATCCATACCTGTATTCTTCACTCTTCTGATCACAGGCTCCCCATCATGCTGCCCATCTGCAGCGGCTCTGAGCGGCACCGAACTCCGGCTCATCTTCCAAGTACATGTCTGCCCTCCTCGCAGCATCTTCTGCTCGCCTTCTGTGGCTTCTCTGCATAAGCGTTTCACCACTGCTCACTCAACCTTCAATGCGGTCCGAGACACGGCTTCCCGTCCTATCCTACTGGCCTAATTATCTACTCTCCAACCCAAGATTCTAAGCGTAAGGGCGCCTGCAACATCAATGGCCCTCTCCGGTGTGTCTCTCTGCCCCTACAGGTCTCCGCTTCTACACGGACGCTGCCCCTTCCGTGGGTTTTTGGGGGATTCTTCCAGGACCAGTGGTTCGCCGGCCGTGGCCCGCTACTTTCCCCGGAGCATTCCTCTGCCCTACACGAGACATTCCCAGTGGTCGTGGCCTGCGCGCTGCGGAATCACACGTGGCAGAGAAAGAGGATCTCTGTCATGCGTGATCATCTCGACGTAGTGGAAGCATTAAACAAAGGTCGCTCTTCTCACCCAACATAATGTCCCCTGACCATTCAACCTTCATCTCAAACATTCAAAGATCAGAGGCGCCTGCAACACAATAATAGCTCGCTTCGACACATCTCTCTGCCCCTACAGGTCCATGATGCGTTACACTCGCCTCCGCGGCAAAAAGGAGATTTTAACGGACCTCTAATTCTCACTCCAGTCAACCTTCCCATAACAGCAACCTGGTTCAGAGCTCAGCTAAGATCCCTACTGCTCCTCTGCAATTTGTCTCCCCAGCTCTATACAGCCCACTCCTTCAGGATAGGCGCTGCCACGCGCGCGACCTCGCTGGGGCTCCCCCACTCTTCTCTGCAACACTGGGGCGCTGGTCCTCTTCGGCTTCTCCACCTACATCAGGCCAGATGCGACCGCTATCATGGCAGCACAACGTCTACCGGCTTCCTCGTAAGCTCCCTGCAAAGCAAGTAAGCAATAAGATTCTGGTGGCGGCACGCACTTTCCTCAAACGCTCAAAGATTCCTCTGCTTCAGCGTCTGGCTGAACATGCGCGTGCGCGCATGTTCTCAGCTCGCTCAAAGATTCCTCTGCTACAGCGGCTGGCTGAACATGCGCGTGCGCGCATGTTCTCAGCTCGCTCAAAGATTCCCCTGCTGCGGCTGGCTGAACATGCGCGTGCGCGCATGTTCTCAGCTCGCTCAAAGATTCCCCTGCTACAGCGGCTGGCTGAACATGCGCGTGCGCGCATGTTCTCAGCTCGCTCAAAGATTCCTCTGCTACAGCGGCTGGCCGAACATGCGCGTGCGCGCATGTTCTCAGCTCGCTCAAAGATTCCTCTGCTACAGCGGCTGGCTGAACATGCGCGTGTGCGCATGTTCTCAGCTCGCTCATGCTCTCAGGCCCGCGGAGTGCGTCCTGCTATCCCAATCGCAGGCCCGCTTTTTGGGGATCATGCACGCGAGCAAGCGCCGTGCTCAGCAGCATCCCGCCC